AAGAAAGCTCTAAATCAAATAGACTCTTCCATGGAAATTGCCGCCGAGGTCAAAAATCTTACTCAAAGACTTTATAAATTCCTTTTGAATCAAGGTCCGGCAATTCAATCTTATTCTCATCCATCCAATGAAATGTGCATGACTTGTTCTAGTTACACTCACCATACTTCAAACTGCCCTCTGAGACAAATCATACAAAGTGAGTCTCAAGAACAAGCAAATGCAGCTTTCATTCATCAAGGGAACAACCCTTATTCCAATACTTATAATCCGGGGTGGAAAAATCATCCTAACTTTGCGTGGAGAAATCAAAGAGACGGTACAAATTCTTCTCAAACTCAAGGTTACCAAGCAAAGTATGTTCTCCCACATTTTCAAAATCAAAATCAGAATTCTCAAGGTTACCGTCCTTCATTCTATCCTCAGAATGTGAATCAATACTCTCATCCTCAAACATCAAATTCCCAATCCTACTCTAATCCAAATCAAGCGCCTCCTAAGAGTTCCGCTTTTGAGGACAAGGTTTTGCAAGCCTTAGGTGATCTTTGAAAAGATAATCAATTGTTTCATTCTCACTCTCAATCAATTGCAAAGCTTAAAGCTCAAATCGGGCAATTAGCTAATTCTTTAAATGTGAGAGAGAAAGGTAAGTTGCCTAGTCAAACTGAGACCAATCCTAAGGGGCAATTTATGGCATAAGCAAGTCCTTCATTAGAATTTTCTGAAAATGAGCAAGTTCAAGCAATTACTACCTTCAGGAGTGGTAGGAAAGTGGATAATAAGGTAGAGGTACCTAAGGAGGATAGTGAACTAAAGCAACCAAGTGGTAGCATCCGTCCTATTCTAAATCCTATTCCTATTTCTTTGGATGTTAGTGGTTCCAAAAAGGACCTTCCATCATCTTTATCATCACCTCCCCAATTCAAGAAGCCTTATGAGCCAAAAGCTCCATTTCCTCAAGCTTTGAGAGAGACTTCATTATTTGGGAGACAAGAAGGAAAAATTCATGATATGACGGAAGTGTTCAAACAAGTAAAAATCAATCTTCCTCTTCTAGATGCAATTAGGCAAATTCCACCATATACAAAGTTCTTGAAGGACTTATGCACACAAAAGAGGAAGAGCAAAGGAAAAGACCTTAAGAAAGTGCTTTTAACAGAACAAGTGAGTTCCATCATTCTGTCTAACACTCCTCCTAAGTTCAAGGATCTGGGTGCTTCGACCATTTCTTGTGTTATTCGAAACCAAGAGATTCGTAGAGCTCTCCTTAATTTAGGTGCAAGTATCAATCTCATTCCATACTCTGTTTACTTGCAATTAGGATTAGGGGACTTAAAGCCAACATCAGTAGTAATCCAACTAGCCGATAGATTAATTAAGAAATCGAGGGGAATTGTTGAGGACATCTTGATTAAGGTTGATAAATTTTATTTCCCGATTGATTTTGTGGTACTTGATACTGAGCCAGTCCCTAATCTTACCAATCACATTCCAGTTATCCTAGGAAGACCATTTCTTGCCACTGCCAATGCTACCATTAATTGCAGATCCGGTATTATGGACATCTCTTTTGGCAACATGATGGTTAAGCTTAATGTTTTCAATGCAAGTCAACATCCCACAGATGAAGACGAGTGTTTCCTAGTGGATGTCTTAGATGAAACCGTAGAGGAGACTATTCCCTCTATTCTCTCTAAGGACCCTCTTGAGGCGTGCCTTTGTGAAATGTTCGAAAGTTGTGGTTTTAACACAGAAGGATCCATAAGTGACATGAATGCTTTAATGGACTCTATGGTCACTTTGGATTACCCACCTTGGAAAAGCAAGAAAGAACCTTTTCCTTCACTCTCTAGTACTCTACCAGTTCCGTCTCTCATCTCTCCTCCTACTCTTAAGCTTAAACCTCTTCCATCTGATCTCAAATAGGCCTTCTTAGGCCCAAAAGAGACTCTTCTGGTCATCATTGCTTCAAATCTTGAAAATGACCAAGAGAATGATCTTTTGGAAGTGCTTAAAGCTAACAAAGAAGCCATTGGATAGAGTGTGGCTGACTTAAAAGGCATTGACCCTTCTATTTGTATGCATCGCATACACATGGAAGAGGATGAAAGGCCATTTAGGGATGATCAAAGGAGATTGAACCCAAATATGAAGGAAGTTATCATGAAGAAGGTTGTGAAACTTCTAGATGCGGGAATCATTTATCCTATCTCTGATTCCAAATGGGTTAGTCCAACTCAAGTGGTTCCTAAAAAGTCGGGAATCACAGTTGTTAAAAATGCTAAGGGTGATCTCATTTCAAAACGCACCGCCACTTCGTGGCGTGTTTGCATAGATTACCGAAAGCTGAATTCCGCCACTAGGAAGGACCATTTTCCATTGCCTTTCATTGACCAAATCTTAGAAAGATTAGCCGGGCAACAATACTATTGCTTCCTAGATGGTTCCTTGGGGTACAATCAAGTGGCCTTAGATCCATTGGATCGAGAAAAGACCACCTTTACATGTCCTTTCGGTACATTTGCTTATCGACAGATGCCTTTTGGATTGTGCAATGCTCCTGCCACTTTCTAAAGGTGTATGATGTCAATTTTTTCGGACATGGTGGAAAAGTATTTAGAAGTCTTGATGGATGACTTCTCGGTTTTTGGGTCCTCATTTGATTCGTGTCTCCAAAATCGAAAAAAAGTACTTCAAAGATGTCGTGAGACTAATCTTGTGTTAAGTTGGGAAAAGAACCATTTCATGGTTCAAGAAGGAATCATGCTTGGACATGTCATCTCTAAAAGAGGAATAAAAGTAGATAGAGTGAAAGTTGAGCTGATTTCTGAATTGTCTCCACCTACTACGGTAAGAGAAATCTGCTCCTTTCTAGGACATGTCGGTTTTTATCGCCAGTTCATCAAAGACTTTAGCAAAATTGTTAGACCCTTGTGCAACCTTCTTGCCAAGGAGACTCCATTTGTTTTTGATGAAGCATGCCTAAATGCTTTTCATCAACTTCGCACTCTTCTATCATCCGCTCCCATCATGCAACCTCCAAATTGGTCCTTACCATTGAGATTATGTGTGATGCTTCCGACTTTGCAATAGGTGCTGTTTTGGGGCAAAGGGTAGGTAAGCTATCATGTGCTATATACTATGAGAGTAAGACTTTCTCAGGTGCCCAATTGAACTATTCTACTACCAAGAAAGAATTACTTGCCGTAGTATATGCCCTTGATAAATTTCGGTCATATCTCTTAGGATCTAAGGTAATTGTGTTTTCCGATCATGCCGCTCTTAGGCATCTTTTAATGAAAAAGGAAACCAAACCTTGCTTGATAAGATGGATCCTACTTCTTCAAGAATTTAACTTTGAAATCAAGGACAAAAAGGGCTCCGATAATGTCGTTGCCGATCATCTGTCTAGATTAATGGTTGAATCTTCTTCAAATCTTGAAATTCATGAATCATTTTCGGATGAACAACTCTTTCAAATCTCAAATGGGACGTTGCCTTGGTTCGCCGACATTGTTAATTATCTTATAACCGGCAAACTTCCCATTACTTGGTCAAAACAAGAAAATGACCGATTCTTTGCTAACATCCGAAAATACTATTGGGAAGATCCCAATCTGTTTTGTTATTGCCCGGATCAAATCATAAGGAGATGTGTGCCAGAAAGTGAAGTTCCGAGTGTCCTTGTGTTTTGTCACACATTTGCTTGTGGTGGGCATTTCAGTGGAAAAAAGACCGCTTTGAAGGTTCTTCAAAGTGGGCTCTTCTGCCCACTATCCACCGAGATGCCTATAACTTTTGCAAGGTGTGTGTTCGGTGCCAAAAGTTAGGATCAATGTCAAAGAGAGACATGATACCTTTAACTTCAGTCTTCGTAGTTGAAATCTTTAATGTATGGGGCATAGATTTTATGGGACCATTCCTAATGTCTTATGGCTTTCAATACATTCTCGTTGCCGTTGATTATGTGTCAAAGGGGGTTAATGCTTGTGCTACCAAAACGAATGACCACTCCGTGGTAATTGCATTCGTCAAATCAAATATTTTTACTCGTTTTGGTATGCCAAGGGCTATGATAAGTGATGGAGGAAAATATTTCTGCAATCAATTTTTGAAGAAACTCTTTTTGAAATACTCTATCACACATAAAGTGGCCACTCCCTACCATCCCCAAGCAAGTGGGCAAGTCGAGGTGTCAAATAGGGAAATCAAGTATATTCTTGAGAAAACTGTCAATCCGAACCGAAAAGATTGATCAAGGAAATTGAATGATGCTTTGTGGGCTTACCGGATAGCTTACAAGACTCCAATAGGCATGTCTCCATATAAACTTGTTTATGGGAAACCTTGTCATCTTCCGGTTGAGCTAGAACACAAAGCACTTTGGGCAATAAAAAAGCTCAACTTTGATCTTGATAAGGCCGAAAGGACCGTTTACTCCAATTCAATGAGTTAGAGGAATTGCGAAATAATGTCTATGTCAGTTCAAAAATCTACAAGGAAAGGACAAAAGTATTTCATGATAAACATATTGTGAAAAAGTCCTTTGAGGTTGGTCAAAAGGCTTGGTTATTCAACTCTAGACTCAAATTCTTCCCTGGAAAGCTTCGAACCAAATGGGAAGGCCCTTATCAAATCATCTCCGTTTCATCTCATGGGGCGGTTGAACTTAAAAATCTAAAAGATGAAGGGACCTTCAAAGTTAATGGTCAAAGGTTTAAACCATACATTGATGGACAAGTTTTTCAAAGAAATGTGGAATCCGCCCTCTTGGTAGATCCCATTTACTTTGAAGATTGAGAGCATTTTACGTCTTTCTAACGACGTTAAACACTAGTTATATCGAGTTTTTCCTTCGTTGCATGTTAATTTACATTTTTGTTACTATTTTATATTTTTTTTTCCTTTTTCCTTTTGTACATTTATGCATTTTTAAATTAAAAAAATAATAATAATAACCAAAAAAAAAAAAAATTGTAAATGAGTAGTGTAAGTTGATGTTTGATTTTATTTCCATTTATTATTATTATTATTATTATTATTATTATTATTTCATTTTAGTTTTGCTTTATTCAAAAAAAAAAAAAAAAAAAAAATAGTACTAGTTCGTATAGGTTGCTTTGTGATTTTATTTTAATTTTATTTATTTATTTGTTTATTATTATTATTATTATTATTATTTATTATTATTATTATTATTATTATTTTATTTTATTTTAGTGTATATATGTTTTTTAGTTTTGCTTCAAAAAATAAAAATAAAAAAATAAAACAAAACAATCTATGGGACACAATGGGAGGTCAATCCCATACTTTGAGAGCAACAAAAAAAAAAAAAAAAGGCTCATGTGGATCAATTCCCCAACCATCCATGGGGATCAATCCCTTTTCACTTTTTCATTTTTTTTTTTTTTTTACATAAAATTTACGATCCCTCACTTATGGTGATCGAACCCCTAGCTTGCCCTCGATGCCTCCATGCCCAAACAAAATTCTTTTTCTTTCCCCAAAAATCTCTAAACCCAATTTCATCGTCCAACCCTCACGGTTGGCTCTTCTCTTCCGCGGTGTCGTAGGCCTTCAATTCCGGCGCCATGCCTCTCGGCCTTTGCTTTGCTTTGCCAGTTTGAGACTCAGTTCTTTCTTCTTCTTTTCCAGCGGCTTTGCTTTCCTTTGTAAAACGCTGTTGGGTGCGATTACAAGGGTGGGGTTGCCGTTCCTGAAAAACAGCAGCGCCGACAGCGGGATTTCAACAGCGTCGCGGCTGGGTCATTTAACGGCGTCAGATCTGGGTTCTCTCCAGCGATCTCAGCTGGGTTTTCTCCGGATCGCGGCTGTTCGTCTTTCCGGATCGCGGCTATTCGTCTTTCCGGATCGCGGCTGTTCGCTGTTCCTTTCGGCGTTAAGATTGGTTTGTTCTTTCCAGCGCCAGCTGAGTTCCTTTCCGGTGATTTTGACTGTGTTTCTCCAGCGATTCCGGTGACTGTGTCAAAATCACCGGAATTTAACTGGGTTTCTCCGGCGGTTTTAACTGGGTTTCTCCGGCGTTTTTGACTGGGCTTTCTCCGGCGAGTTTGTGGGTCAAAATAAAAAAAAACAGCAGCAGCAATTTCTGGGTTCTTCTCCAGCGATTTGCGGCTGGTTTTTCTCCGGCGTCGCGGCTGGGCTTTATCTTTCCGGCGGGATCGTGATTCGCCCTTTATTTTTCCGGCTCGTTCTTCTCTGATTCCGGCTGGGTTCTTCCGGCGAGCTTGTGAATCGCTGGTTTCTTCTCTGATTCCGTCTGGGTTCTCCTCAGGCTACGATTTGAGACTCGGCCTTGCTTCGTTTAAACAGCGCCCTTTGCTTCGCCCTTTATTTTTCCAATGTCACGGGTAATGAAAAAGGAAACCGATCATGCTGCGCCAACGGTTAGCTGCGTTAAATTCCGGCCATGGTTCTGAGTTCTTCTCCACCGACGGTTTGAGGTTCGCCCTTTGATTTTGAGAACTTCAATTTCTCCAGGATTTATTCTTTCGGTAGCAAATCCACGACCTGATAGTTAGGGTGAATGAGAATCATTCCACTCAAAAGAGAACAGAAAGTACGAACAAAATGACAGTTTATATTCCATTTGAACAATCCACTTCTCCATTATTGTGTCATCCCGGTCAAAAGTGATTGCAAGTTTGACAGAGTGGAAGAAAAGAAAAGAATTCTTTCGAAAAAAAAAAAAAATTACAAAATTTTTATCAGTTTAACAAAAAAATAACAAGAATAATTTATTGAAAAAAGTTTAGTTGAACTGGGTTGTTCATAATTTGGTTTAATTTGTGAGGATTTGTTTTGGACTTAATTTGTTGATTCCAAAAGTCTAAATTGATGATAAAAAAATGAAAATAAATAATAAATAATTCTAGATTGATGATTAAAAAAAAAATAAAATAAAATAATAAAAAAAAAATATCCGAGAAGCATTCGGTCACGTTAAACTTAACTCATTTTTTTATTTTTTTATTTTGTAAGTTGTATATTCATGTTTTTTTTCTTTGTTTCTTTAAAAAAAAAATACCACAAAAATTAAAAAATATGCGTTACCGGTATGCCCTTATGATTGGATTTGCATGTTTTAATCTATTATAAAGGATTTCATCTCTTATCTCTTTGCAACGTGATATCTATTGCTTTGGACTGTATGCATTGCTTATTCCATGTCATATTTGATGTAAGTTTGCTAGTATGGTTATATAGACAGGTTTTTGCATCCAAATTTAGGGGAGACATCTTTCCTACTGGATCATTGTCGGATTTCATAATCTTTGCTATCACGGTATACTCTTTTCATCATATTTCATTGTTCTCATTGCACATTGAGGACAATGTACAGTTTAAGTTTGGGGGTAAGGTTGATCGTTATGATTCATTCTATTTTAAGTTGAGTTTTAAATGCATGATGAGATTTGAGATGTATTTGGCAATAATTTCGAACTTTTGACGTATAGTGCCTTTGAAAAACAAGTTCTTAAAGTCTAATACTTCTTGTATACTCTAGGATGCCATTTAGGAGTAAATTTTTAATTTTTGATATCATGTTTGCTCTTGTGGTACACATTATCTTGTTGGTTAAAAATGCTTTGAGAGTTGATTTTAGAATTCTACACTTGCACTTGCGCACACTAGCATTCAATTTGTGGGATACATGCTTAGTTGATTATTGTCTTGGTTTATCCCAATTGAGCTAGTATGCTTTGAAAGTTTTCATTCTTGATAAAATGGCCTTGCAAAGAAAAGAAATAAAAGCACTCACCAAAGATGAAAAAAAAATTGCATTCTTTCAATATGTCAACTGATTAAAAAGGAAGACAAGGAAAGAATGTAAGATGTATGATTAGTTTGATTTCGTAGCCTAGCCATTCCAAGTCATTACGCCCTTAGGAGTGTCTTTACACTTAACGCCTTAAGACCATCTGGTTTGGGAGTCGTTTGCTCAACGCTTGTTACATGGGGTGATTGGAGAGCTTAAGGAACTTGGACATTGCACACGGTCATACACAAAAAAAAAAAAAATAATAATAATAATAATAATAATAATGAAATGAAATAAATAAACAAAGAATGTTTGATTGAATAATAAGGTTCATTCAATGTCTTGATATCTAAAACTATATCTGTATGCTAGTTTGAGGGTAAGGTTATGTCATTACTTTGATTTGTTAGGATAGCAACACATTTTGATGCCGGTTCACTCAAAAAGGATGATAGAATTGATTCAATTTGCATGATTAACTTGCTTGATGTGTGGAGGACCATTTTTACTTACATGATATTGAAATGTTGAGAATAACTTAGAAATGTTAAAAATTTGCATACTTTAAGTAATTTACTTTCAACACTTGTTTGATATGTGTCATTGCTTCTCAAGTAAGAAAGAGCTGTTGATGTTTGTGGGTACCATTTCTGGAAACCCTCACAAGACCTCACTCGTCCACTAGGGGTAACGTAGGGGTTTAAAAGGCTTGTTGCATATGCTAAATGTATTCGTGATCCCTACGAAAGTGGTGTTATCTTTCTTTGTTTTATTAGTTCATAGTTGTATATATGTTTGTTTCATTCTCATATACTGTAGTTCATTGCTAGGGACTAGCAATATCTAAGTTTGAGGGCGTGATAAAAACATAAATGTTGTACATTTCAGCACCTAAAATAGGGTATTTTAGTTCTTGCATCTATCTTATTTTCATATTTTAGTTCTAATTTATATTTTTGTTAATTTCAGGTCAATAAGGTTCAAATTGACTAATTTCGGTTCATTAAAGCCTTTTTGGAGACAAGCAAAGACATTCGGAAAAAGTTCAGAAAATGGCAAAAAGAGGTTGCAACCCATTGTTCGTATTAGGGCTGCAAGTTGGGTTGGCCCAACCTAGCCCAACCCGAACCCAACTTTAACCCGAATCGGGTTGGGTTGGGCCAACCTGAATTGTACTTAACATAGGTTGGGTCATAACCAGGATCGAATATTTTCGGGCGGGTTGGGTCGGGTTGACAGGTTAATTTTTTTTTTTTTTTTTCGAAAATTTATATAAATATTATATATATGTGTATATTATATATATTTAATTATATTATTATTAAAAATATATATATTTTTAGGGCAAATCATTTCAGCCTCCCTCAATTACCTTCATCTCTATTCTCATTCTTTAACTCTGAAATTGCTCTCTCTCTCTCTTGCGCAACTACAAAATCAACAAGAATCAGAAGTTCAAAACCTATATATTTCAATTTATCTATCTGTCTGCTAGAATCTAAAGTTCAAAACCTAATACCTATATCAAAACCCATATCGGCATATCATTTCAAATTGTTCAAAAAATCAAAACCCATTTCAGATTCAACTGCTCGTCGTTTTCGTCGCCGTTGTCGGCGATGAATTGTTTCTAATTCTCGAAGACGAAAGCGATTCTTGGAGATGCCCAAAAAGCATATCAACCACAGTTTGAGAAGATCGAGGAGCACAATTTCTGCATGAATCCCTCTTAGATCAAGTACAATTTAATCACCATGAATCCCTCTCAAATCAAGAACAGAAGAAGAAGAGACTCCCATGGCTATGGCGAGTGACGAAGATACGATAGAGAATTGTTTGGTTCTCCTCTGCATCGAAGTTGTGTCGTACTATAGAAAGAGGAGAGAAAGAGAAAGAGAAAGAGAAAGAGGAGAGAAAAAAAAAAAAAAAAATGGGTTTCGGGTTGGGTTCGGGTTAAGCCCGAGCCCAATCCGAATGTGTCCGGGTTTTGACAAAACCCAACCCGAACATGAACCTCATTTGTGAATATAAGCCCCAATTTTAAAATTTCTAGGCTGGGCTTGGGTTGGGCTGGGTTAGCCCGCCCAAGTTGCAGCCCTAGTTCGTATAATGTGTTCATCCTTCAAAAGCAGTCAATTCTACCTTTTTCGGGCATTTGATGATGTTCCCAAATATCAAGAAGCAAACCAATGAGCTCGGGGCCAAAATGGAGCTAAATAAAGCTTACAGGAAATTTCCAAGCCTGGGGGATCGATCCCCCACTATTCACAGAACTAAAAATGCCCTTGGGGGATCGATCCCCAAGGCTCGGGGATCGATCCCCCAGCACCTGGTAGCATTACGGGATTTATGTTTTGATGGCTACGGGATTTTGTCTTTTGAGCTTATTTTTGTAACTCATGGGCTTTAATAGAGTTTGTTACTTAAGGTAAATAAGCCCATTCTTTTTAGAGTTAGTTTTTCATTATATTAACTAGTGAATATTATTTTATTATTATTAAGTTTTATTTTTTAGTTTGTATCGTGATATTATATTCTCTCTGGAAAAACACACGAAAGAGGAGAAACGAAGAACGGGCTAGGGTTTGGAAGAGGAAGCTCAAAGATGATGAAGCAGATGATAGAGATTGTTCCGTCTTCAAATTCGTCAATCATGAGTGGCTGATTCTTCTACTTAAGGTTGGATAAACCATAAGCATGTAACCTAATCTCTCTCTTTTCACTTTTTGGGGATGAATTTGTGTAATTAGTGTTTAGCCTTGAATGTTTATGAATAAATTCTTCCATTTGATTATCTATGTCAATATTATGTTGTCTTATGTGTGTTTGATTGTTGATCAAGTTCTACACTTGAATTCTTGTTAATTGATTCTTGTGATGGCTATGCATGGTATTAATTAGTTGTAATCGTGTTCAAATTGATAGAAAATTACTTCTATTTGATGGATGGCATTACATGTTTAGGTTAATTTATCGTCTAATTTGTTTTAAATTCATGTTTAATTAGTTTAATTTAAGTTTAATTAATTTAATTGCAATTTAATTATTAGGTAAGTAGACCATCCATACTTATGTTTGAATTATATACTTTTTGTCACAATTGCATTATCTTTTAGATTAATGTAAGCTAGAATTGTAATTTGAATTGATGGATCATTATTTGGATTGGTGAGTTGCAGTACACTTAGTTTATTTGTTATTAGGTAGGCAATTCAGGCTTGAAATTGATGCTTTATACTTTTCTTTGCAGTTGTTAGTCACATTTAGATTACACATTATTATTTCCCTGATTAGTTAAAAGTGAGTGAGTTAGGGAATGTGCGTAGTGGTGAATCTTACACCCTAAGTCTCTTTCCAATCTTTTAAACTCCATAATTTTATTACAATCATTTAGTTTAAAATTAGTCTAATCACAAAACCAAACCTTTTTAGCAATCACATAAGTAATAAAGTAGAATTCAATTCTGGAAAACTTATAATTGTTTAAATCTCTTGGGACGATACCTGCTTACTTCATACTCCATAGTATAAGTGCTTAGTGGTTTTATAAATTTTAAAATATGGTGCCCACTTGACATTATTTCTAAACCTAAAGTGTTGTGCATTATTTTGTTTACACGCTCAGTCGTACCACGCCTCATCAAGACTTAAGATAAACGCTAAGGCACTACGACATTTTACAAAGGGGAAGAAGGTCAATTTGAGAAAAAAAAGGGTGGCAGCCCCCTTGGGCTGCCATGGCTGATTTATAGCAGCGTGAGAAGAAAGAGAATCCCCTGTTTTAATTTTATAACCCCTATTTATAGTAAAACCCTAAAAGGGCCCCGAAAGGGCCCTGCTAAATCTAGAAAAGTGGAATTTGCGCAGACGCGCTGAAACATTAAAACACCGTGAATGAAAAAGAACCGAAATGAAAAAAAAAAAAATAAATAACGGAAGAAATGGCATTGAAAACTGAGTCCCGTGCAGGAAGGTATGTCCCGAAACAAGTTTGCGACAACTAGGGCCGAAAACCCTAAAACTGGGGAAAATGACCAGAAGGAAATTCTAAGAGTTCCCGAACCAACGAAATGTGAAAATGAATCCCGTATGAGGATTTAGGCTTAAAATGAGGCACTTTGCAATAATTTTCGTTAATTACACAATGGCCCTCCAAGAAAGGATAACTGCAAAACTGCCCAGAAAATATCTTCTAAAAGATATTTTCTTAAAAACCCCTGAAATAAATATCTTCAAAAGATATTTATGAAAAATACCCCAAGAAATATCAATGTTTCTGAATAACCTACAGGAGAAAGAAACAACCGGCAAGCTTTTCTCTAAAAGTAAAGTTACGTGTTTCGAGGAAATCGACTGGATTGAAAACTCGTGAAGTCAAAACTTAACTCCGAACACGGAAAGTGAGGTTGTGCCAATAAAGTGACAAATGGGAAAAGGACGAAAAGTGAACAGTGTCCGAAAAATGAAAATGTGAAAATGACTCGGTCATTAAAGGAAGTTATCAACCCAAAGGAAAGAGTCTCGGAAACCATTTCTGAGCACTCGTGATGACACTAAGTGGTGAGTAACTGAACTCAAAAAAGAAAATTCAACGGAAAAAATTTATCCGTAAAATTTAAGAAAAGGAAAGAAAAGAAAATGACCGGGTCATTACATTTTCATTCTGGGTTATTCGTGCAGTTATCCCTTTTTGGAGGGCCATTGTGCAATTAATAAAAGTTATTGCAAAATGTCTCGTTTTGAGCCTAGATCCTCATACGGGATTTATTTTCATTTTTTGTCGAGTCACGTACTCTTAGAATTCATTCCAGTCATTTTTCCCTATTTTAGGGTTTCCAACCCTAGTTGCCGCCGAACTCTTTCGGGGTATGTCTTTCTGCTCGGGACTCGATTTTTAACACCGTTTCTTCCGTTGTTCATTTTTTCTTATTTCGGTTCTTTTTCGTTCATAGTGTTTTATCGTTTGAGTACGTTGCACAGATTTCACTTTTCGTGGCCGAGCGGGCCCTTTTAGGGCACTTTTTGGGAATAGTATAAATAGGAGGGAAGAGAGAGGAAAAGTCAGATTTTTCCTCCTTTGTCCTCCATGGCCGGCCACCATGGCAGCCCTTTGGGCTGCCACCCTTCTTCCTCCCTTTTGAACCCCTTCCACTTTGATTCACCTCCTCCGATGAAGGCATTATTGTAGGCCTTGGCGAGACCTTCGATTCCCCTCTTTTAGAATCTGGTTTCGACCATTTTTGAGTTCGGGTTTGGATTTTGGTGTTGCCGTAAGGAGAATAGTTGTTCCCCTCGTAATCCCGAAGTATCATCGGATTTGGAGCGGTTTCATTTTGGTGGCTTTTGAGATTTCATCTCAAATTGAGGTAGGGAATGATTATAGGTTTATGTGCTTGGTGTTAATTATTTTTGAGGTTTATATAACTTGTATACTTGTTTTTGCATGAAATCTAGAATTTAATTTAATTATTCTTTGGATAAAATTTAATTCACGTAGTTGTATCTAGTGTGGAATTAATTAAAGACTTGGTATTAAATTAGACCTTGGCATGTTCCATAACATATATTAAATTGAGAATATTTGGATGAGTTTTGAAATCTTTATTTAATAATTTCCTTTGTATAAAATTTAATTCACATAGTTATATCTAGTGTAAAATTAATTTGTAATATGATATTAAATTAGGCATTGGTATGTTCATTAACATATATTAATTTGAGAATATTTGGATGAATTTTGAAAACTTTATTTAATTATTTTCTTGTATGAAATTTTAATTCATATAGTTGTATCTAGTGTGGAATTAACTTGTAACATGATATTAAATTAGGCCTTGGCATGTTCTTTGACATATATTAAATTGAGAATATTTGAATAAGTTTTGAAATCTAGAGATTTTAATTAAATGAATTAATTAAAATCTATTTAATGGTCCCATTGCTTTAATTATATTTTTAACTTGATATATGTAATGTCTTTGACTTGTTCCATAGCATATATTAATTTTGAATCATTTGAAATTGTTTTAAAATCTAGAGATTTAATTATTTTATTTTAATTAAATTTTGTTTAATTGTTTCAATGACATAATTAAGTTTTTGAGTTGATATATGTATTGATCATGATGTAGTCTTTAATATATAATTATTTGAAGTCATTTGAAGTTGATTTAAAATCTAGAGAAATTAATTAATTAGTTTAATTAATTTTTATTTAAGTATTCTATTCATGTAAATAAGTATTTGACTTGATATATGTAATGACCATGTTATAATATTTGACATATATTAATTAGGTAGTATTTAGATGAGATTTGAAATTTAGTGAAATTAATTTCTATTTTTATTGCATTAATGATTTAATAATGTATTTCACGTCAATAGTATGTTTAAATCATGATTTTGGACTTGTATTATATTCATGAGATTAAGTTTTCAATATTGATAATATCGTTATAGTGTGTAACGAATCGCACATTAAAAATTCAACATCCTATGCCTTGTACGTATAACGAATCGCACACTGAAGATTCGACATTTTGCATACCATAGTAGTTGTGTACTTAGAGAATGTATTGTATGTTTCCAAAATTTGATTGTGCATGGTAGATAATCTTTTACCTTGTATTTACATGTTGATATATACGTTGTAGCATAATTTATTGATTTTGGAAACTTGGGATGTCGTTTATTCGAAAGGACTAGAGTATAGCTCTAGGGCGGGAGATTAGCTCTCCTCCCGACAGGCTAGTAACCTAAAATAACTATTATCGTTTGGTTTAATCCGACGTGATGTCCAAGTTTTACACTATTTGATTTAGTATTCAATTCCAAGTTGTTAATCATGGATTATTTGTAACTTGTGATTTGATGCTTAAAGCCTCTTTACGGTTTTGTATACTAGTGCTTGTATACTTGTATGCTTTGGATTTATCATTTCAATGACTTGTGTAATTTAGATAATTCCTTAGTTCACTTTGGAACATAGATGTTAGGTGGCATGAACCACTTTAGTTGTTTTCACATTTTAGATTTTAGGTTGATAACTTTGGGAATTTATATCTTGTTGCGTTGTATTAGAAGTTCCAATTATGTTAAATTGTACACTTTAGTTGTTTTCGCATCTTAGATTTCAAGTTGATAACTTTGATAATCTATATCTTGTCACGTTGTATTGGAAGTTCCAATTATGCTAAATTATATCTTTAGTTGTTTTATGCATCTTAGATTTAAGGTTCATAACTTTGATAATTTATACCTTGTTGCGTTATATTGTATGCTCCTATGTTGTTTACCTGCATAAATATTGTGATTTGTGTTAGAAATGTTTTAAGGTAGCTTAGGATGCTCCTTGAGTCTCACCTTGGACAAAGACGTTAAGTGGCATGAACCGTATGAATTGATTTATATTAATTTAATAAACTGTAAAACGTTAGGTCATTTGCATGTTCATCTTCCTACGAGTAACTTTAGTTGTTCACCTCGTTGTTGGGATATTTTTCAAATATGGGAATTATGTTTCAGGATACATAATACCCCTTGGTTGGCTTCTAAATTTGAAGTACTTTATTCATGCACTTGTTAGCATGAAATGCCTTATTTTTTATTTTATATGTCAAAAATATGTATATTTGGTTTTAATTATGTAATGTGTACATAAGTGCACCTTTTAGAATGTATTTGATATGTATGTAATGTGGCCAATAGCCGTTCTATCTATTCTTACTCTTTCAATCTATCAGAACAGATCAGGCTATCTATCAATCGATTTGAAAATAACATGTTCATCTCGCTTTTCATTCATTTCCTGTAATGACCCGGTCATTTCCTTCCTTTCCTTTTTTCCTCAGAATTTTACGGATGAA